GGAAGCATCATCTATCATTCATAAACTTTCATGTAACACCTAGTCAATTATCTCCATTTTAAGAAATGAACTATTACTCTTCACTTCAACATCATATGGTTTTTTTGGTTAATTTCATATCCGTTCACGGAGATTAGTATTGTAGGTAGCAGATGAAGCCATAACAATCATCTTGAACTTTTTACTAAGTATGTTGCTCATTATTTTTTCTGAAAAAAAGCTCACGTGGTTTACTTGATTAGTTATCTGGGTTGTTATATGTGTGATTGGAGTGGGATAGTGGTATGAATATACAATTATGGTCTGGGTTGTGGTCCTGAATTTCCTTCTCGGTGTGTCGATGCAGGCTGTACAAGTCATGGTCCAACAAGCAATGCTATACATTGACCAGACTCCAGATCTTGATACTAAAATAGAGCTTATCAAGACACTTAACAATGTGTCCGCTGGGAAGGTGATTCTCGTGTGGAAAACCTAAAAAACAATTAGTGTCCAGGACTCTGATTTTAATTTACTGGTTTATTTCTGTCAGATCTATGTGGAGATAGAGAGAGCTCGTCTGGTTAGGAAACTTGCAAAGATTAAGGAAGAGCAAGGTCAAATTGCTGAGGCTGCGGACTTGATGCAAGAAATTGCTGTCAGTGGATGCCCTTTCATTAAGTCTTAGATCTTTTTCCTTGATTCATTAGTAGACACTTACGTAATTACTAACTTGATGAACGAATGTCTGTAACAGGTGGAAACATTTGGCGCAATGGCAAAAACCGAAAAAATTGCGTTCATTCTTGAGCAAGTATGGGACTTTGTCCATTTTTATGTTTTTTGCAGTGAATGCCTTGTTAATGAAACTGGAACCCTTTTTTAATAATATGCAGGTCCGGTTGTGTTTAGATCGGCAGGATTATGTCCGTGCACAGATTCTGTCGCGAAAAATTAGTCCTAGAGTGTTTGAAGCTGATACTTCAAAAGAAAAAAAGAAGCCTAAAGAAGGTGAAAACATTGTTGAAGAACCTGCTGCTGATATTCCATCGCTGTTGGAGTTGAAAAAGATATACTACCAGTTGATGATTCGGTATGTAGTGCGGTCCTTTTTCCTGTTTTAATATGTCATTTTGCACCATCTATATGTGAATTTTAAAGGTGCACTCGTAGAACTCTTACATGTGTTGGATGCGCTCCATCCTGCAGATACATACATAGATGCGCTGATGGTTGAACAAGTAGATTTGTTACTGGCTTTTGCCTTTCGAATAACATTCATTTATCTAATTGATTCATTGAGTTCCTTACTTTTGATTTATGGGAAAACCATCTTTATAACTTCTATTTATGGTTTTGATTACTAATGGGCACCTCTTGCACTGGAGTTAATCCTTTGGGAACTCTTTTTTGGCTTGTGATCACTACTGCTATCTCCATATGATTTCTTTTACTGTTTGATCTCTGTTCATTTGCTTAGTGCTGAAGTTTGATTCTTTGAATCTTGACATGACTTGAGAATTCTTTTTATAACATCTGAGGTGGTTAAATATGTATGTGTCAGCCTATCATACCTCCCCCAGCCACTGGTTATGATTGACCTGTCGTTTTTTCACGTATCGATAGTGAGCTAATTATTTGTCTTTTATCTTTTGCAGGTATTATACGCATAACAATGATTACGTTGAAATATGCCGTTGTTACAAGTCAATATATGAGATTCCCTCTGTGAAAGAAGACCCTGCCCAGTGGATACCGGTATATCATCTATATCGTGGTTGTCATTACTTTCAAATATTAGTATAGGGAATATATTTGCCTCACTTGGTCAGTTTGCTTTCTTTTGTCACCATTGAATTATGAATTATTTTTTATCACATGCTTCAGGTGTTGAGAAAAATATGTTGGTATCTGGCCTTGTCTCCTCATGATCCTATGCAGTCTAGCCTTCTCAATTCGACCTTGGAGGATAAGAACCTCTCAGAAATTCCTCATTTCAGGTCAGCCTTGTAACACCTTTATGGCTATTGCTTTCATCTTCTTCACCAACATTTGGTGCTCAAATCTTGTTGGTGTTTGTTTTATCCTTCCATTAGGTTATTGTTGAAACAACTAGTTACCATGGAGGTTATTCAGTGGACAGCTCTGTGGGACTCTTTCAAAGATGAGTTTGAGAGTGAAAAGCACATGGTTGGTGGTTCTTTAGGTGAAAAGGCAGCTGAAGATCTGAAACTCAGAATAATAGAACATGTAATACTCATAAACTCACATCATGATAATGTTGGAAGATTCATTTCCATGGCCTTTTTCTAATGAAATCGTTGGTCCCTTATATATTCTACATCTATCTATCTATCTATCTATATGTGTAACTGAGGAATGTGTTCATTGCAGAATATCCTTGTTGTCTCAAAATACTATTCACGGATTACCTTGAAGAGACTTGCAGATTTGCTATGCCTTACCGTCAAGGTCAGTCACGTTCTCCTGAATGATGCTTCAGATTGTATGATCTTTAAATGAATGAGTATTTCTTGCTGACATTAAGTATTCCCTATAGATTTTTGAACCATTTTTGGATCGGCGGCATATCTTTGATGTCCTTTCCGTTTTGAAGTTTTTATTTATTAAACATTTACTCTAGATGTAAGGTTCATGTTGAAGATGCATATGGGCAATCTGAGAAATCGGTTGATGCCTATTTTATTTGTACTCAATGACAAGTTCTGTTATGGTGGAGGATATGAGAGAACATGGAAGGTATTAATTAAATATTATTAGCTTACGCCTTACTAATTTAAAATTTTATTTTAAATTTTACCAATATCAGATTCAATAAATTGATTTGCTGCGTGTCTGTGTGGTTGGTAATATGTTACATTAGTAAAATTTTTCATTTATTCTTTTATTACTTGGATTAGTTGATGCACTACGGCCAGTGTGGTTCAGTACCTACCTGTTTTGGTAAACGTTACTATCGGATCTTCATCTTTGTTTAAACAGCAGCATCTTCTGTCACAATGCAGGAAGCAGAGAAACATCTCTCGGACATGGTTGTCTCAAAAGCATTGGTGGCAAAAATCGATAGACCTGTGGGTGTGATTAGTTTCCAATCGGCCAAGGACAGCAATGACATTTTAAATTCATGGGCATTGAACTTGGAGAAGCTGCTCGACCTTGTTGAGAAGAGTTGCCACCAAATCCACAAGGAGACAATGATCCACAAAGCTGTGCTTAGAGTTTGAGAAATCTACATTCCTTTAAGAGGTTAACAATCATTTATCTTCTTGTTGTGTTGCCTTTGGAACAACTTCTTTGTTAAAAAACTGATAATTACATAACTTAACCGTTTCGGTTTGGTCTCATTTTACCCAGGGAGGAAAAAATAAATTCCAGTTAATTATTAAAATAACAAATACAGAAACACCCTTCAGATAACAAATTACTCTCTCTCTCTCTCTCTCTCTCTCTCTCTCTCTCTCTCTCTCTCTCTCTCTCTCTCTCTCCGGGTAACTGAGAGATTTCTACCATTATTTCTTTTCCTTATCTAGTTTAAGGTAGGCCAAATTTCATACATTTGTTTGTAATTTTCTGTATTTTAAATTTTTAATATTGTGGATGGGCTTCACCTGGGACAAAAACTGACTACGTAATTTACCGTGCAGGTAGCACGTTGTGCCTGTTCCAGTGGCAAGAGCCAGGATGGACGCTCATTGCTATTGTGTGCCCCAACTTTCGGGATATGATTTGGCACTAGGTGCCTATCCTATTCCATGTTCTATCCTTTCTAATATTCTTGGCATTTTTCATGTGGTTCTGTTCCGTCAAATTTTACATGCAATCTAAGATCTTTTGGGGAATTAATGAATTCGTGCTCATGAGCAAATATTTGTTCAGAGTTTCCGTACATGACCAGAAATATGCGTAATTAGTTTTGCCACTTTGAACGTTATACAGATGTGTTCTTGGTTGAATTTGAGTCGTCTTATGACTTTGATGCCCATATTGCCCCCTGAATGTTTGTTTGCTTCCTATTCAAGAAAGAGTGTAGACAGTTAAATCTGTGGACTCGTGGATACAAAAGCCTTTCGACAACCACTGGTTTGTGTAGTTGCCACATTTGAACCAGTCTTCAGTGCCATGTTGAAAACACATAGGTTACGTCTATCCTGGTGATTTGTTAGAAAAATTAGTTGTTGGGAAATTTGAGTAAGTTGAAAAAATTGTATTAGCCATATGTGTTTAGTTTTGTATTCCTGTAGTAATTTTGAAGGGACAAAATAGTGGGGTGTATATATACACTACAAGAATATGATGAAATTCAATCAGAAAAATCCAATGGAAATGTATGCTAATGAAATTTCAATGGCAACTCTAATGGATATTCTAATGTTATTTTTTTGGTTAGATTTCCAGTTGATTCAAGTAGAAATTTCAATAAAAATATTCTATTGGAATGAGTTTTTCATTGTAATTTTCGTTGGATTTTGACGATTGTAATGGTACTTTTTTCAACGGTTGAAATATGGGTGAATAAAAATTCCAATTGAAAGTGTATATTCCAACGGTAAAAAATGTTGGAAAAATAGTCGTTAGAATAATTAAATTTTATTAATATTTTAATAGAAAAACTCATTCTAGCGAAATATTTTCGTTGGAGTTATTCCAACCGAAGTTAGGTTATTGGAATATTTATTGTAATATATTATTGTAGAGATTCAAACTTAAAAGGAAAATAGATAAGTCCAAATTTACTTCATTTGCTTTGGTGTACGTTTAGATGCATACGGTACGCGACTTTAAAGTCAAACTTAAGACAACATTTTGTACTTTTGTATTCATTACATCGAAATATATGAAAAGACAAACTTAGAAAAAAGTACGCTGCCGTATTTAAATGACGTCATGCAATGAACACAACTAGTCCATGCAATAAAATGCTCTCATATATCAAATTCATAATAGCAAACCCCTCATTACAAAATCAAGAATCTTTCAACTAATAATTCGTGCTAACTATATCATCCAGATGAAGCCCAATGGCCGCCACTGTTCTGGCTCCCGCCGGCGCCAGCTGGCCTGACATCCATTTCAGGCGGCGGCCCGGCCGCCTGAAAACCCTCGCTGGCCGGCGGCACATACTGTTGCAATCCGGAAGGATCGTAAGCCATCAACTCATCCAGAAAACCCGTCTGCCTCTCTATATCATCGAGCGTCATGGAAACCCCCGGCCGAGCCGAGTCGAATTCACCGAACTGCCCCTGAAACCCAAAATTACCGAATTGCCCCTGAAGCTCGGGTCGGCTGTGGACGATGGGCTCGGTATTAACGGGATGGAGGAGGCGAACGTTCTCGGGAAAATTGAGCTTGGCTTTGCTGCCCCTGTAATGGAGGGCAGCCTCGTCGTAGGCTCGGGCAGCATCCTCGGCCGTGTCGAAGGTGCCCAGCCAGACTCGGGCAGCTCTGTGCGGGTCGCGTATTTCGGCTGCCCATTTGCCCCACGGCCTCTGCCTCACGCCTCGGTACTTTCGGTTAGATGACGAGTTTGTGACTTCTTGAGGATGGTAAGTGTAGACTGAGGATAAGTCTGGTGATGTTATGATGGTTGGCTTGATTTGACTTGAATTGATGGTCTCTGCATTTTTTTTTCCCGAGTTGATGTGTGCTTATATAATGATAATGAATTGTATATGATGAATATATTTACATATATAATACTTTATAAAAAAAAGTGTACCTAAAGATGATGATGGTCCCAAGGTAGAAGAATTAGTTCCAACGGCAAAATCAGCATAATTAGCCCTATAAACTCTACCATCTCCTTCATCATCACGTCCCCTTTTGCTGCATGCTGACGATGAGGACGACGAACCACCGCCCTCGGCCGCCACGACGTCACCAACATCTCCGGCCACCACACGAGCCAAAGCCGAGACCATAACCGACATCTCTCTCTCCCTATCGACCCCCGAGAACGTAGGCAGAACGAGCGAGTTCAGCCTCTCGTTTTCCGACCCAAAAACCTCGTCGTCGACCCGTTTCGGGTCGTAATAAGGATCCTCTCTTGAATTCGCCACCTTCAACACACGCATGCAATAAGGAAAAAAAAAACAATGGAAGAAAATGATACCTCAAATACTCAAAATATATAATTAATATATATATATATAGCTATGCAAGTTGCAGTTGAAAAATTCGCTTTTAATTTTCACAATTAAATTAGAATGGAATAAAAAGATTGAAAGAAATAATAAAGAGGAAAAAATCGCCGCCAAAATGACGATGTCGACTTGTATTTGTATATCTTCCAAGTGAAGCTAAAGAGTTTTTTTTTATCTGATTATATAATTTTTTTTATATTGATATTGATGTTTCTTAGTATTTTATTTATTTATTTTATTTGAGTTTAAGCAGTTTGACTTTGACCAGGTTTTAGGTGCAAGTGTGCCACTTAAATAATAAAGGAAAAGTTTGGGGGTATCTATGTGAAACCAAGAATTCACACTAATTTAAGAATAAATGGGGTATGTTGGCAAAATCCGATATCCGATACACGGTTTTTGGTCTTATTATGTCGGTGTAGGTACTGTTGTATTTGTGGAGCCGACATAATCACCGCCTCGTTTTTTTTTTTTTTCAAATCTATAAAGACATGGTACTGTCCCGTTACGAAACTATTCTGTTGGGATTTATAACTGTTAGATCATCTATCTCCGACAATTACATGACAATCTATGTTAGAGTGATTTTGTGAATATTGTATTTTTGGTATAGATAGATTTTGGGTATATTAGAGATTTGGTGTATATTGGTTTTAGGGTTTCCTTTGTATCTTTATATATTCGGCTCTTGTGAATATCAAAAGCAAAGATTTTGGGAAAATATATTAGCTTTCACATATTTTGTCAATTTGACCATTACGAACTCCGACAGAATGGTCTTGTAATGGGACCGTAACATCTCCCCTATTATAATTCGTTGTCAAATTAATGCAATATTTTTATTTTTTTATGTTAGTTAGCCAGAGTAACAAACAATTATATTTTATATTAATTAAAGTATAATAATATTTTTTAACTATTTTATTATACAAACGAAGTTATACTTCACTTAAAATAGTAGTATTTAGAATAGTTAAGTACAAAATTATAATGCAAAGTTATTCTTCAAGTTATTTATTTTAGAATAAATACTATTTCTTAATCTCATTAAGCATTTTTCTTTTTCTAAATGAGCTAATTAGTTTTAGTAGTATATATAGTCAAACGGTGTCAAGTCGCATAAACAATTACTATAATAATAACTATAATAATAGTAATAATAATAATTTTAATATCTTTAAGATAAGTGATTGATCAGAATAAATGAAAGTTATAAAAATTACATTATTCATTACATTTTATTTAATTAATATTGTGATTGTGATTCGTACATAGTTAGATATAGTTTTACACTGTTTATTATTAGAGTAACTCTAGTGTTATTTTACATTGCAACTTTACTTCAGAGTAGTGCCAAAAACTTGCTCAAATGTCGCGTTATTTTAAAGTTGTGAATAATATTTCGCTTCATGTAGCGCGATACTATTGACCGCACTACATTTTTTTATTTTTATTTTCATTCATTAATTTATATTTATATATTATTTTGATAAAATATATGTCAATTAATTTATTTATCTTGTTAAATAATTCTATATTTTTTACTTTATAGTTGTATTTAAATTTTATTTTTTATCAATATATTTTTATGCAAAGTAAAATGTAGCGCAAATAATTTGAGACGAAACTTAAATTTTTCATTCTCTACTTCAGAGTGGTATAAAATCTAGCAGAGGATTGTAGATGGTGCTACTAATGCCAAAATTTTAATGTGTATCTAACTTATAATTTTAATATTATACACATGTATATAACTTATAATATTTTAGTTAAACTTATGCAAATGCACAAAACTTGATTACTAGATTTATTTTCAACTGGTTGAATATTACTAAATATTAGCATATATGAAAGTAGATATAGTTTAGTTTTTTTTATAAAAAAATAGTGGTAACCGGCCAAGAAATACAAATTGGACCAGGCACAAATTCCACAATATTTTTATCTTTTTTTATAATAGTTTTTCTCTTTCATTTATCAAGATAGGACGGAATAACATTCTTTAACTAATCTTATTCGGTTTACTAACATAGATCGAGATTGGGATAATCCTAGTGTCATTTATGTGGTATCAAATTTAGGAAAAAAACGATTATTTTTTTCACTTTATTTTAACCAAACAATCGAATCAATTTGTTTGGTAAAATATCGGTATATTGGTAGAAAAATTCGGTTTCACTTTTAGAAAAATGAATTATTCTTTTCAATTTTACTAATCAAAATTTTCAATTAGAATATAAAAAATGGCGTGAAAAACCCTAAAAAATCTCTACTTCTTTCTACTAGAATTTGGTATGATAAATAAGATCCCTTAATTTTTTTTAAATATAATTTGTTAATTAATAACTAATAATACATAATTTTAGACAAAATTTGAATACTCATGCAGTATTTTACGTTTCAAGTAATCAAACTAAGAATGTTGTACATAAGAAAAATGTTCAATAATATATAAATTTCATTTTCACGATATTTTTAAGGTCATCAGATAATTTAAATACAAAAATCTATTTTTTTTAAAATAAAGTAAGAGTTAGTAGAAAAAGGGGGAAAAAAGTATGTAGCCACGTGGTGCTCGGTTATGAAATTCATGACGGTGTTGAGGTGAATAAAGAAAAAGAGGTCTATTATAGGTCAAGACATAATAAGATGACGTAATTAGTTTTGGTAGGTTTTTCGAAAATAACTTGCAACTCACGGGATTGGCTCTAGAAGATTTTAAAGTTGTTTTCTTATTTGTTGTGGTTGGTTTGACGATAGTTGGTAAAATTAATTGATAAGCTAGCTGATAGCTGATAAGTTAGTTTATAGTTTTTCATTAATTTTTTGACTTATAGTTTATAGTTTATAATTTATAGCTGAAAAGCTGGTTAATATGGTAAAAGTGTTTAGTGGAATTAGTTGATAAGCTAGCTGAAATTAAAAAAAATTCAACTAGCTTATCTGAAAAGTTACCTAAAGAAGCTTATCAAATAAGTTTTAAAAGCTCGTCCTACCAAATGAAACTTATTTGAATACAGAGAGCTTATTAGCTAACTAAACAAGCTATAAACTAGCTTATTTGTCTATCAAACATAGTAAAAAAACTCACGCTAATGAATTCAATGAAAAAATATATATCAATAGAATTATTCCAACGACAATTTCAATAGATATTTCAATGTTATTATTTCTGTTAGAATTTTTCAAGATTTTAAATAGCGGGCGAAAACGTTTATGGCACTGTAGCTATAGTGGAGCTATAGCAGAGATTTAGCGGGATTTAACGACTAAATTGCACATGAATACAAATAGCGGCACGCTGCCAAAAAAAGTTATTTCTCAAATAGCGGCAACTTTAGCGAGCTATTTATTTCCTTGGAATTTTTCAATGGATTCCAACAGAAATTTCAACAAAAATATTCCGTTGGAATGAGTTTTCTATTGGAATTTTCGTTGGATTTTGACGAATCCAGTGATAGATTTTCCAACGGGAACAAAAATTGCACATTTCAATTGAAATACATATGGTAAAAAATGTTGGAAATATAGTCGTTAGATTCATCAAATTCTATCTAAAATTACAATGAAAAATACATTCCAACGGGATATTGCCGTTGAAATGATTCCAATAGTAGATATACCATTGGAATATCCGTTGGAATTTTCGTTGAATTATATTACCATAGAATTTTCCGTTTAAATATAACAATTTTTTTTTGTAGTGGATCAAAGTATTGTTAATGTATCGGTGACATTTTGTGACGTGTATGGCATTTTAAAATGGACTTAAATGTTAAGGGCGTGTTTGCATATATATATATATATCAAAATGAGTTTTTTTTATTAACTAGAATTTTATTTTTTCTTTTTTTAAAAAATGGTATAACTAGTTGTTAGTGAAATTTATATATTAAATAATATTTAAATAAAATAATTAAAGTTGATTTGATGTAAAAGTATAAGAGAGATAATACGAAGTGATAGGTAGCTAAAATTATATGAGTGAATGAATAATAAATTAAAGTTGATGTGATGTGTAAGAATGATTGGTTTAAATTATTTAATTATATTGATAATATTAAAAATAATGGAACTGCGTTAAGTTGAATTAGATTTTGAGTATGAATTGAAAATTGAGATATTTCATATACAAACACACACCCAAAAAGTGTGTTGTGTGATTAATTTGGTATGATAGTGATGTTTTGTAACTTATATATTGGACTTTTATTCATGTCATTTGAAAATATGGACTTAAGTGTTAAAAGTGTTCTGATTAATAAGTGATGAATGAGAGTTAGGGTTTAGGGCTACCTCTTCTCCTTTATATAGGAGGGAACACTTACCTGAGATACCCGAAATACCATGGTCGGTGGACCCAAAAGGTCCAAATTACCCTGTTCGATTCGTCTCCCCTCCTTGCTGAGTCACACCAAGATTCATTCTTATCCATGAGAGGACAAGAGGTTTTAGGACTGTAACAAGTGTGTAGAATCGTCAGTGTACCTTATGTCTCGAGATGTGAGGGGTAGACATCGATTATGAACAGGTCCACCCACGATCTTCTGGTTGTTCAGCGGCCACATTCTTGTTAATCTTCGCAAGTGAATGTCGACTAACTGGAAGTCGACTAGACGAAGTCAACCTCTAGACTTTGTATGGGATCTGCCATTTGTTACCACCCACTCTGATGGAGAATCGACTTTGAGAAAGTCGACTCGGGAGTGTCGACGGGTATATATTGAAGTTTGTGCGGTTTCATCCATTCTCCGGTTGAACAGAGAACCTTTGGGCCGATACATCTTTACATGGCTATATCATTAAGTAATAAATATTAAATTTAAAAATATATTTATGAGTTAAGTTGACTCGTGTTACTTAGGAATTCTAAATTTACATATAAAACGGTTAACTATTATTATTATTATTATTATTATTATTATTATTAT